GAGTCAGCCCAACATATCAGGGCTAGGGGCTTTCGCAATATATAGAGTGGGATGAAAAAAGAATGAGAAGAGTTTCTGTGTAGTTTGAAGTTTGTTTAACCTCATGCAAATGTTGTGCAAAATAGCATTGGTCCTTTGGGAGTCAACTGTGCATATGTATTTTGTAAGAGAATCTGCCCAAGTAATTCTAGTAATGGAGCTTTTCTCAATCTAAGGGAATAGGCTAGGACACCTTTTGCCAAGTGGGCCCAAGCTGTCCCCAGGTCTGACCACCAGCCATGACATCCAGGAGTTCAGGCTACCATGCCTTTCTCCTCCAGAAAAAGGTCAACATGGCAGGGCTGCCCCTGGGGACCTTTGCCATCTGGGTTAGAACAACCAGTGTTTAGTGGAAAGATAAATGGATTTGGAATCAAAGGCCTGAGGCTTTGGGTTCTAACCATGCACTGTGCTGTTGATTGGTCTAGCATGTGATCACTTAGCTCCTCATCTATAAAATAGAGTGGCTGAAGTAAATGATCTCCCAGGCCCCTTACAACTGTAAAGCCTATGGCATTATGAAGTATTCTTCCCATTTCTCAGAGAGAAAAACTGAGGAATTGAAGGGAACTGGAAGGACAATGAATGTAATGGCAAAACCAGAATATGCCTGTTGCTCCTCTCACTAAGACTTCATTCATCTCTTAAATTCTAAGAGTCCTTGTATTGTGTTGTTCTCAGCTCATTAGGTTTCTATTCTTAAAGGTTCTCCAGGAGCGACGGGCTCGTTGTGAGACACAGAACATTGACCCAGTGGTCTGGACAAACCAGCGGGTGCTCAAATGGGTACGGGACATTGACCTGAAGGTATGGAGCCTCTGGGGAACTGATTAAAATGGAAGTCTAGGTTAATGGACATGCAAATGTTGGTACACATCAATATTTTCCTAGGTTTGAGCCATTAACTAGTATTCTTTGATAGGATCCATTGAGCAATAAGCATTTATTGAGCACTTACTGTACACCTAGCACTCTGACAATTGATGGGGATACAAAGAAAAAAACAACAGTGCCTGCCGTCAAGGAACTTCTACTCTAATGGAGGAGACCAAATGTACACATCAGTACCTGTGCAGTACAGACAGAGTAGACAGAAGGTAGCCTTAGAGGGGAAGGTACTAGCATCAACACTGCAGAAGATTAGCACTTTGCTGAGTCTTGAAGGAAGGAAGCCAGAGATTCTAGGAGATGGAAATGAGGATGAAAATTCTTCCAGACATGAGGAACAGGCAATGGAAAAGCATGGAGGTGGGGCATGGAGTGTCTGTGTAAGAAGCACCAAGTAGGAAAAGATGACTAGACCAGAAAGTGCATGGTGGAAAGGGTACTACAATGGTAAGAAGAAAAAATATCCTGTCCTCCAAGACAGAGCCACACCTGGGGCTCTTGGTCTAATTTTTCTAGGGGTCATTATGATATAGTGAACTTGGTGTTAGGAGACCTGAGTTCAAGTCTTGGCTAGTGTGATTGTGGATGAGTCTTTAATTTCTCAACTTCATCTATAAAATGAAGACTTCACTTTATATAGAGAAACTACGGATCTTTCTCCAATTTAAGGGAATAGGGTAGGGCCCCTTCAACCACATGCACCAGGGCTGTCCCCAGGTGTCACCGACAGCCATGACATCCTGAGGTGCAGGCTACTCTTCTCTCCTGTTTCAGAAGAGGGTCAGCATGGCAGAGCTGCCCTTGGGGATCAATATATTATGTAGACTTCAGTGTAAAAATCTGGTACTCCTTACCTTGCAGGGTTATTATTAAGAAAGTGCTATAGAAAGATGAAATGTTATGTCATTATTTGAAGTAATACGGATAGATGGGATTGAAACATTCACACTCTCTTGTCTGGGCCAATTGTGGCTAAAGGAGCACATTTGCCAATGACTGGCAAGGATTAGAAATAGACTCTCCTTATAGACACGCTCAATGGATCTCTGCCCAAGGCATGCTAATGGCTCACAAAATGATACACAGTAGAAAGAGCTGGGTTCAAATCTACCTCTGATTCTAACTACTCATGTGATCTCGAGTGAATCACTGAAATTCTCTAGACCTCAGTTTCCTCAGTTGCAAAATGAGGGGGTTGAACTAGATGACCTCCACCTCAGTAATCCTAGAGCTATCTGGTGTTAGAGGTGACATGACTCCTGAAATACAGAGCTCTTCCTCTGTATGAAGGCAACTAATCCCCAAAGGAAATGGAGCCTTTGACCTGCACTAACACTCTGTGTTAACTCACTGTACCAAGCAGCCCCCAGACTAACTCCCCATGCCTGACTATGTGACTCCCCTAGGAATATGCGGACAACCTGACCAACAGTGGCGTCCATGGAGCAGTGCTGGTCTTAGAGCCCACATTCACGGCAGAAGCCATGGCAACAGCCCTGGGCATCCCCAGCGGAAGGCACATCCTTCGGAGGCACCTGGCTGAAGAGATGAGCACCATCATCAGCCCCGCCAGGTGAGTGTGGCACCTCTGCCTCTTTCTGGGCCTTGGGGATAGGGAGAAGGGGGCAAGACAAGATACTCCAATTTAGGAGCTAAGGAAGAACACCTGGCATGCTGATGTTGGTATTATGGAGCCTTCCTTTCCTGTATTTGTAAAGAGAGAGAGAGGGGGGAGAGAGAGAGAGAGAGAGAGAGAGAGAGAGAGAGAGAGAGAGAGAGAGAGAGAGAGAGAGAGAGAGAGAGAGAGAGAGAGAGAGAGAGAGAGAGAGAGAGGAAGGAAGGAAGGAAGGAAGGAGAGGAGGGAGGGAGGAGGGAGGAGGAGGAAGAAAGGAAGGGAGGAAGGAAGGAAGGAAGAAAGAAAGAAAGAAAGAAAGAAAGAAAGAAGAAAGAAAGAAAGAAAGAAAGAAAGAAAGAAAGAAAGAAAGAAAGAAAAAGAAAGAAGAAAGAGAGGGAGGAATGAAGGGAGAAATGAAAAAAGGGAGGGAGGAAAGAGGAAGGAAGGAAAGAATGAAAGAGAAAGAGAGAAAAAGAAGGAAGGAAGGAAAGAATGTTAGATTTGGAAGAGACTGCAGAGATCATTAAGAAGACAAAAGCAGGAGAGATGTGGAAAAATTAAAGACGTATTTTTGTCTCCTTATAAGAACTTCTTAACAATCAGAACTATCTCCCCTTAGATGTGGCTTCTTTTCTTAGAATGGGTTCTCCATCACTGTAAGTGTTCAAGCAGAGGCTGAATAATCATCTGACAGAGCTGCTTGCTCTAGAGGGATCCTTGCCCTGGATGGGAGATTGAACTAGATCATAGAATCATAGATTCAGAGCCAGAAAAAACTTCAGAGCCCATGTCATCCACCCCCACGAGATGAGAAGCTGAGGTCTTCTACTGAAGGGAAGTGACTTATCCAAGGTCACACAGGTAGTAAGAGGCAGAGCTGCTGAGAGTCTATCATTCCAGTCTGACTTCTACACGATCAGGGAATCTTCTCCAAATGCCATCAATAAACATTCATCTCGCGTCCACTTGAAGACCTTTTGTGATGAGGAACTCATCATCTCCCACAACAGTCAATTCTACTGTTGGATAGCTCTGACGATCACTAAGTTTTTCCTTGAATCGATCCCAAATCTGCCTTCTTATTGTTAACAGACTTTTAAATGTAGTCTGGATAGGACTGGTCTCTAACCTGTGAGTAGACAGAGCCACACAAGGGAAACTGAGGCAAACAGGATGAAGTGACTTGCCCAGGGTCACACAGCTAGTAAGTGTCACATGTCTGAGACTGGATTTGAACTCAGGTCTTCCTGACTCCGAGCCCAGCGCTCTATCCACTGTGCCACCCAGTCCCCTGAAGACTACCCCTGACTCATCCTGTATCTTGTTTGTACAAAGCTTTGTGTGTGTGTGTGTGTGTGTGTGTGTGTGTGTGTTGTCTCTGCAATTACACTGTGCACTCCTTTCAATCAAGAACTACTTTTTGCCCTTCTTTGAATCCCAGCGATTAGCATAATGCCTAGTACATAGTAGGTGCTTAATAAAAGCCAGTTGACTAACTGTTCACTCAAGAAAATATATGCTAACATAAGGAGGAAATTATTCAAATGAACATGGATTCTTCGATTTATGCCTTGAGGGGATTTTAAAGTCTACCTAGTCCAATCCCCTTGTTTTACAAAGGAGAACATGGAGATCCAGAGAGGTAAGTGACTTGTCCAAGGTAAACAGTATCAACAACAACAATAATAAGGATTTAAGTGGAGTTTAAGGTTTGCAAAGGACTATGTAAATTTATCTCATTTTATCATTGCTGCAACCCTGGGAGGTAGGTGCTATTATTATTCCCATTTAACAGATGAAGATAAGAGAACTGAGGCAGACAGTGGTTAAGTGACTTTCCCAGAGCCACGCAGCTAGTTCATGTCTGAGGCTGAATTTGAGCCCCAGAGCCAATGTTCTGTATACCGAACCACTTAACTACCTTTATCAGAAGCAGAATTTGAACCCAAGTTCTCAGAGTCCAAATCTGCTATCCTTTCCACTATAGTGGAAAATGGATCTGGTTAGGTTGAACATAGGGTGAGCTTTAGACCTGTTTACAAAAATAGCCATTACTAGCCCTTCCTTTTTTTTTTTAGCTAAACGGTGCCAGGAATCAGAGGAGCAGCTTGGACGCTGGCTCCCTGGATCAGGCCAGGGAGTGGCCAGTTCCCCCCCCCCCACTCCCTTCACTCCATTCTGCAGGAAGGCTCTTAATGTTTAAACTCAGTATTTCTCCTCAGAGAGCAGCATAGGTAAGTGGGGATTTTTCCAGTCATGTTGCAGTTTACTACAAGATTTAGTGTCCATGTGCTTTTGTGATCAGGGAGCTCAGCCACAGAATTCTTTTGGGCCCTTGGGGTCAGTCTAGCTTTTTCCTCCACAGATGGAGGATTAACCACTGCTCAGGGCTGCCAACAGGCAGAGGCAGGCCACCTCTGAAGGACACCCTTCTGTGCCTCTTCTAAGAAGTCCCTGCTCTCAATTCCTAGGAGAAGAGTTACTTCTCTGTTCCAACCTACTTTAGAAGGACGTGCCTGACATCAGGTGGTGGCAAAAGTCTCCACAAGTAAAAAGGCAAAGATCATGTTTGAGGCTGAGACTTTGATGAGATGTCCCTGGGTCTCAGGGATGGACATCAAAACTGGGAAGAATTAAGGGACAGGAGAGCCAGAATGCATCTTAGAAATCATCTCCTCCAGGGGTTCTCAAGCTGGGGTCTGGGAATTTGGATATTTTTTAGGCAATTAGGGTTAAGTGACTTGCCCAGGATCACATAGTAAGTATCTGAGGTCAGATTTGAACTCAGGTCCTCTTGACCGGTTCTCCATCCGCTATGCCACCTCGCTGCCCCTGGGATTTTTTTTAAAAAAAAATACATATTAATAATATCTTTTCACTATATTTTCTTCTGTAATCCCATGCATTCTAATTTATGCATTTAAAAATGCTATTTTGAGAATGGGTACACAGGCTTCTCCAGACTGCCAAAAGGGGCTTTGACACAGAAAAAGTCAGGAACCCTTGATCTAGTCCAATCCCCTCATTTTAAAGGTCCTGAAACTGAGGCCCAGAGAAGGGAAATGATTTGGCCAAGGTCACACACAGAGGAAGTAACATAACCAGGAGTCAAAATCAGCAGAACTTTAACTAGGGTAAGGCAAATGGGACTTGTCCAAGGACACTAAAATTTACAGGGTACTGATTGTATGTACCCTTCAGTAGCAAAGAAACAACTAACCTATGACTTGGTTAGCAAAAAAAAAAAAAAAGAATTAGCTAAAATAATGGGTGGTAGAATACACAGAGTGCCAGGCCTGGAGTCAGGAAGACTCATCTTTGTAAGTTCAAATCTGGCCTCGGAAACTTACTAGCTATGTGGCCCTGGGCTGTGTGACACTTCACCCTGTTTGCCTCAGTTTCCTCATCTGTAAAATGAACTGGAGAAGGAAATGGCAAACCACTTCAACATCTCTGCGAAGAAAATCTCACATGGGGTCACAAAGAGCCAGACATGACTGAACAATAACAAGAAAATAAAATTTTATCTGATGGCAAAAGGAGATTGCACCTCAAGTGAGCTCTTGCCCAGGGCACCACCTCCTAACCCCACCAACCTGCACTTCAGAACATATTTCCTTCTCCTTGCCTCAGGTTCATTTTTCTGCATGACCCAAACATAAAAATCTCTATTTACAGTTTTGGAACTCAGGTCCGCTAATAACTTCTTGACTTTTCCTAAGGATAATTGCATTCTTCAAAAAGTGGAGGAATCACCAAAAAGAAGGGTTTGTTTTTGTTTTTGTTTTTAATTCTTCCTAACCCAGAGTTTGTGGTAGAGAAGGAAAGGAAAGATGGGCCTCTCCTAGCATGCACCCTAGCTCTGAGGCGAGCTGGCTTCAAAGGGTTGAAATTAAGGACAGGCAGAATTGAATGAACTAAAATTCTTTTGGGGATGTTAATCCAGAAGGGAAGGGAAGCTTGAAAGAAGGAAATTCCTAAGACAAAAAGACACGATTCTAAGGAAGAAGAAAAAGAAGAGTTGTCTCTAGAGACTGACGTCAATGTGCAAAAAGCCCCTGGATCAACTGAAAGTTTTGAAAATAGATCTTTACTTAAATCTTTTGTTTTTATGTCTCCCAAATTCCACCCCTCCCCCAGCCGCCACACACACATACTAATTCCCACAAAACACCTCTAGGGGCTTAATCGACTAGGACAGACATTTTCATTCTCAATCATTGGTCACTGGCACATTTGGCAAGTGGTCCAATTTTATCTTTAGCCCTCCTCAAGGCCTGTTCTGTTATGGGCCTGAGACATTCTCCGCCCACTGAAGCCTCCCTATCTCTCTGAACTACATTTCTAAGGTACTTAGGTTGCCCTAGACTCCCCACTGGGGTATCCCAGCTACCTCAAGCCGTACTTATGTATAATCATGGACTCAAAACATCAAATCTGAGAGGGGCCTTGGAACAGGGAATGTCAGAGCTGGGAGGGCCCTTAGAACACAGCCTGTCAGAGCTAGGAGGGGCCTTAGGTCACAGAATGTCAGAGCTGGGATGGCAAACAGGGTGAAGTGTCACACAGCCCAGGGCCACACAGAAAGAATATCAGAGCTGAGAGGGCCCTTAAATAATATATGGCTTAACTCCCTCATTTCGCTGGTTGGGAAACTGAAGCTCAGAGAAATAAAATTACTTGCCCAGGGTCATATAATTTCTTAGCAGAGATGAGGCTAGATCTCCTTACTCTCAGCCCAGTGTTCTTTCTACAACACTGCCTTTCTTTGGAAAAGTAGGACATTCCCTTTCTCCTCTGACCCTCCAGGGTATATCCCATTTGGTGGGCACTATTCATAGCAACCCACCAGGCATCACTTTGCCAAGGACCAGGAGAAAAACATCAGCTGAGTGTCAGGGAAACAGACCCTTATGTGTCACTAATGAATTACAAACATAAACTCTTCAGGTAACATA